GGGCGCCTCTACCTGTTTTGAGGCCCTTGACGGGGAAGGTGGCCTGCGCCAGGAAGTTGGGATCGCTGAACATGTCCTCCTCATACACCACAAAGCGCAGGAAGGCAAACTCGGGGTTGTTGATGTCGAAGACGAACTGCTTGAAGAGCCACACGGGGTTGAGCCCGTTATCCGCTGGGGGCAAGAGGGGAAGGGAGAGGGGCCGGAGAGCGAGAGAGACAAACAAATTAACCCTTGTATCCTACCCTGGGAGCCTGGTCAGCCATGGAGCCATTATCCCCATTTCAGAGATGTGGAAACTGAGGCACGGCAGGGGCCACGCAGTCGGATGTACCACCGAGGACCAGGGGTGCGCACACCCTCTGGTAGACCTTCCCATCCCCGGGAGCTCCTGGGCAGGAGCCCCACTCTCTGCAGTGCTGAGGGGGACAAGTTGAGGGGTGCAAAGGCCACGGGCAGTTTGTGGCAGGGGGAAGCCCCAGAGCGAGTCCAATTGCCTGGGCGAGTCTCTGGCCCTTACATTACAGCTAGCTCAGCCCCAGCCCTGCAGGGCCCTACTGAGCTCTTGCCCGTCCCGGGGAGCACAGGGGGTCCCAGTACTGCCCCTTGCAAAGCCCACGGGGACCCCCCTGCCACTCACCGACGACGTCCGTCTTGTTCTTGCTGTTGTCGTACTCGGAGCCACAGACCTCCACCTCCACAAAGGGGCACACGATGCTCCGGCCGTTCTTGGGGAGGTGCCGGGCACCCAGGATCTGGGGCAAAGAGGAGGAGGGAGGTCAGGGCAGGCGAGAGGGGTCCCCTGGGAACCCAGGACCAGCTCTGCTTCTCCTCGCCAAGGACCTCCTGTTCCACCAGCCCCCCAGGTGAGGCACGTGTGGCCGAGACACCGCGGGCTCTGGTTGGGACAGGGACAGCAGAGGCTGGGCAGTGCCCACCTGGGGAAGGGGAGTGGGGCAACCCCCACGGGTCTCCAGGCCAGGATCCAGTGCCCGGGGCCCCTGGGAAAAAGGCTTCCCATCATTTTGGGACATGGAGGGAGCCTTTTCTGCAGTGGCGCCAGGCACTGGATGCATCCCCTGCCCCCAGCTCCAGCCCCCACCTCATTGCACATCGCTTCTCATTATTTTGGGTGGCAGAAACTCTTTGGCATGGAGCTGAGGCCCCTGGAAGGATGTCCAGGGCTCGACTGGCTCCTACCTCACAGCTTTGGAGGTCACGGTCTTGGCCTGAGGCACTGGAATAAAGGACTCTCCTTCTGCAGGCAGGTGAGCAGGGGACATGCACGTGATGGTGGAAAGGCAGTAGGGGTGTGTGTGCACGCACGTGTGCATCCATGGGACACAGTCAGAGCAGCTCAGCCGTGTGGCAGAGACCCTATACCGCTAATAATGAGCAGGGATTCCCTCTGCCATCGTCCCAGAGCAGGGTCCACGGTCTGTCCTGGAGGAGTGGCCACTGCACTGAAGGATGCACCTGTACCCAGGTCCCATTCACTGGCTCTGCCCTCCCTTACCCCCCAAGCCCGCTGACTGCAGGGCTGTGCGGCTGTATCAGAGAGGTGGGCTGGGCCGTGCAAATAGGAGATGGGGTCTCATGGCTCACATCCCCGCATAAACCAGTGTCTGCCTTGCCTGGAGCTGCACGGTGATGGGCTCCACGATCTTCAGGCTGTTCTTGTCAAAGGGGTCGAACATCTCATCCCGCATGATGTCTGGCTGCAGGACGTAGCCGCTGCGGCCCCCCAGCATGAACAGGGCCTGGTTCAGCTGCATCGGCTTGTCTGCAAGGAACAGAAGAGCCACCACAGGCTGGGTCACACCCTAGATCTGTCTTGTCCGGTCTCCTGTGTCACACAGGGGCAGAGAGCAGAGGCTGGAGGGACAGTGACTGGGTCTAACTGGGGTTTTTCCCCTGTTCCTCTCTCCCTTGCAGCCTCCAGCATTGATCAGCAGGTCTGACGCAGAGGCCGTGCCCCCCACTCCCATACTCCATAGCTCCTGATGCCCTTTCCCTCCAAGCACGGGTCCAATTCCTTTGCAAACCTGACCAAACTCTCAGCTTCCACCATCTCCGGTGGCCACAAGTCCCAGCCTCGAATGCTGCGCTGCGGGGATAAGAACTTCCTGGTGTCAGTTTTAAACTTACGACTTACCTGTCCCATGCTGCGACCCCTCGTCCTTGTCTGGTGAGAGACAGGGAGTAATACATCCCTATTGCTTTCTCGTCACCATTTAGTATGTTGGAAACCCTTCTCATGTCCCCCCTCAAGCACCTCTTTTCAAAATGGAGCAGACCTGGCCTCATTACTCTCCCCTCCTTGGGAAGCCTCTCTGTAGCACTCATCATCCTTGCTGCCCTTCTCTAGTTCTTCTATCTCCTTTTGGAGGTGCAGGGACCTGGGCTGGGCACAGTATCCAAGGCGTGGATGCCCCATGGGTTTACAAAGGGGCATGACGATACTCACTGTTTTGTTCACTATTTTTTAATCCCTAACATGGTGTTTGCCCCTTTTTGACAGGTGCTGAGCACTGAGCTGATGCTTTCAGCAAACTGTCTGCAATGACTCCCAGATCTTTCCTGTGGAATAGCAGCTAGGAGATGCAATGCGGGAGCACTCGGTGCCGGGAAGGTCTTCACCCTGCAGGGGAAGGGGCTTCGCATGGGAGAGCTCTTCAGCTGTGGGATCACCTTCCTGGGAAGGGACGGGTCTCCCATTGCCCGGGACAGCTGGGACACGGCTTGGAGAGCCCCCACCCTAGCAATGGTGGTGGGATTACCGGGGGTCTGGAAGTTGAGGGCCACAAGCTGGCTGCCGCAGATCCACATGGGCAGCGGGTCGTAGTTGGAGGAGTCCAGGCGCTGCCCCTTGGGATAGATGCGACTGAGCTGGCGCCGGTTGTACTGCAGGAACTTCTTGCCCTTGCTGCGGTTGGCATACTTCTCCGCCTTGGTCTCGGGGAAGGAGGACATGTCCCGGTAGCAGGCCTTGTCCATGCCGATCTCTGCAAGGACAGCAGGGAGGTCAGCACAGGTCGAGGGGGGACCCTAACCCCTGCAGGGAGCATCAGGGCCTGGCCTGGCTGCGGCAGGCATGTGGGGAGGGGGCTTCAGGTAGCTTCCTGCATGAGCTGCTTCTTCCTAAATTCAGCCTCGCATTGGGCTCTCCTCCAGCAACCTTTGCCCACCCACCTCTCGCTCAGCCCAGGAGCGGAGAGCTGCAGCTGGCTGGAGGCGGCAAGTCAACGGGGCTGGGGCTGGGGATGGGAGGGCATGGGGAAGGGTCTTCCCAAGGCCTGTGCCCTTCCACGCAGACTCAGCACCCCTGGAGACTTTGGGTAGGGACACGGCTGCTGCTAGGACCTTACTCTCTTCATCAAAGGGCACCGGGCGGCAATAGACGACCAGCTCGGAGAGCTCCAGCGCGATCTTCTTTCTCCTCTCCATGATCTTCCCCTCTTGCATCTGCACAAGGGAAGACAGGAGCTCAGGTCACTGCTTGGACCTTGCAGTAACCACAGTGACACTCCCAGGCCATGCTGGAAGGCACTGCTGGTATCACATGGCAGCCCCCTTCCCCCACCTGCTCCCCCCAGGATAGTTTGCTGGGAGGATGGGGTCCTGTGACCCACAGGCTGCACAAGACTCTTAGCACATGTTAAATGCACTCAAAACCGGAGCATCTGCATGTTCAAGCAAGGTAACAGGTGCTGACTGAACTCTTATAGTGTTGTAGCAAAGCAAGGAGGAGCTCCAGATCCCTGGAATCGCAGAATCACAGACAACGAGGGTGGAAGGGACCTCAGGAGGTCACATCTAGTGCAACCCCCTGCTCCAAGCAGGACCAGCCCCAGCTACATCATCCCAGACAAGGCTTGGTCTACCTGGGTCTTAAACACCTCCAAGGAGAGAGATGCCACCACCTCTCTGGGTAACCTGTTCCAGTGCCTCACCACCCTCCTCATGAGAAGGTTTTTCCTAATATCCAACCTCAGCTTCCCTTGCTGCAGCTTGAGCCCATTGCTCCTTGTCCTGCCAAGACCTGGCTTGGGAGGTGGTAGCAGTCCTTGCTGTGAGACTGCCCGGAGCATATTCTCACCTCGGGGCATGCTCACTATGGTCTCAGTGAAACACATGCATGCCCCATGCGGGCAGGCCCTCTCCCTTCCAGGCAGAGGCACATCTCACCACGACTGCAAGCACCCCGAGCGGGCCAGCGGGCCACTCAGGTGGAGCCCTGCACACTGGAAACTTCAGTTTTCATGGGTCGTGCTCCAGAGTAGGGGTGAAAGGAGTTGCAATTGGCTTTACAGGGTGGGTGCAAGGACCGTGCCCCTCAAATGCTGGGTGCATCATAGCATCCTAGAGCAGAGAGGCTGGAAGGGACCTGCACAGGTTACGTCCAGTCCAACCCCTGCCTGAGGCAGGATCAGCCCTGCCCAAACCATCCCAGACAAACCATCATCTAAACTCATAGCAACACGGCACAGTCACCCCTGACACAGCACCAGACATCACACCTGATCCTGCTATAAGTAAAGCAGGAGAATTGCAGCCGCTAATGTCCTGAGGCTGCAAGGGGTGTTAATAGGGACTCATGGCAGAGGTGATACCTTTTATTAGGTCAACTAGATTTTTGCAAATAATTGCAAGCTTTTGGGCACAATCCCCCTTCATCATTGTGAAAGTAATATATACTCAAGAGATCCTAGGCAGAGTCTGCATCCCACTGCTACAGAGGAAGGCAACCCCCCGCCCCAGTGCATACCAGTCTGACCAGGAGGGTAAATTTCTTTCTGACCCCAAATTGGGTGATTGGCTACCCCTTGGCTCCCTGTGTCTTGGCCCCGTGCTTCAAGGTAGGCTGGAGCATGAGAGTGGGACCCCAAGGGGCAATGCTCTGCCTCTGTGGGTCTCAGGCATCAAGGCACCTCCAAAGCGGGGCCCAGAGACCTCGGTCTTTCCTCTCCCAAGGGCCCCTCTCCCAGTGCCGGCAAAGAGCCCTGGGGTGCCAGGCGCGCGGCTCCCTCCGCTCACCCTGGCATCTGCGTTTTGCGTGGCCTCCCGGATCTTGGCCACCCAGTCGTTGAGTTCCTCCTGCGTGTCGGCGGCCACGTCCAGCGACTGGGACGGGTGGGACATCTGCTGGGAATGGATGGTGAAGACAAATGGTTTGGAGCTCCTCCCGTCTTTGGAGATAACTATAAGGACATCAGAGGGGGGCTTTACTTGAAGAGATTCCCAACGGATGGCTCTGTGGAGCAGAGGAGACCTCAACGAGCCTGCTCTCCGACCTGCTAGGGGCAGGGGCGTGGTGGGGATGGCTTCTCTCCCTGGGGCTTCACCTACAGCCAGGGGCTGGCCTGGCTGCGGGGCTCCCCTGGCATGGCCAGAGCAAGCAAGCATCTTCTAAGAGCGGTCGCTTGCAAACAGGGAGCGGAGAGCCCGAGCCTCCTCACCCGACCTTCC